TTTCTGTTTTTTTTTTCTTTGTTTATTTGTTTGTTTAGAGACTGGTTCTTGTAGCATTGCCTAAGCTGGGCTCAAACTTCAGGGCTCAAGTGATCCTCTCACTTCAGCCTACCAAGTAGCTGGGACTACAGGCACGTGCTTTTCTGGTTCTTTTTTTTTCCTTTTTTTTTTTTTTTTTGAGACGGAGTCTTGCTCTGTCATCCAGGTTGGAGTGCCATGGCGGGATCTCAGCTCGCTGCAACTTCTGTCTCCCGGGTTTAAGTGATTCTCCTGCCTCAGCCTCCTGAGTAGCTGAGATTTCAGGTGCCCGCCACCACGCCCAGCCAATTTTTGTATTTTTAGTAGAAATGGGTTTTCACCATGTTGATCAGGCGGGTCTCAAACTCCTGACCTCGTGATCTGCCTGCCTAGGCCTCCCAAAGTGCTGGGATTACAGGCATGAGCCACCACGCCCGGCTTTCATTCTTAAATTAGATAAATAAACTCAAGTGCCCAGCCCAATGCCTGGCATATGGTGAATACAATAGGTGGCAATTTTCTTTAGGCTGAAGTATGAGTGTATGTACTGTGTATTGGTTTAGCCTGCCCATAGCCAATAACCATCCATTATTAAGCTCTGAACTTTTATGCTGCCCTTGCTCCTGCAAGAAAGAAAGGGGATTCTCTCTGAGCCTACACTGGCTCGGGTGGCTGCCTGATAAAAAAGAATAAAAGTTACATAAAATTTAAAAAAATGAGTAATGCCAAATAACTATTCAGCCTCAGGCAAAGAAGGAAAAAGCAAATAAATCACTTCTATGCAAAGTAGTATGATAAATAACAAAAATTGAGATGCTCAATGAGCATGACACAGCACTTCTTCATTCATTATCCTATTGTAAGAGCCAAGGCAGTTGGTGGGGGAACTGGGGACAGAAAGAGAAACATAGTACTATTGACTGAATGCTCACTGACTGAGCTCCTATTTTATATCAGATGCTTTGTTGTGACTTGGGGGACACAGAGACAGATGTCACCCACATCCTACTCTCCAGAAAGTCACTCTAGCAGGCAGAGGCAGAAATATAAAACTAAAATTGCTGAAAATATATTTTTGGCTATACAAGCTATTGTTTGGACACAAAGGAGGGGAATTGTAAGTCCTGGGAATGAGTGAAGGTTAAGAAACAGCTGGAGAAGGAGTAATGCTTCAGCTGACTCTTAAAAGACATGTTTTCTCTAGGGAAAGAGTTTTCCAGGTTTGAACAAAAGTCTGAAGGTGGCCAGGCGCAGTGGCTCATGCCTGTAATCCCAGCACTTTGGGAGGCTGAGGCAGGTAGATAAACTGAGGTCAGGAGTTTGAAACCAGCCTGGCCGACATAGTGAAACCCCATCTCTACTAAAAATACAAAAAATTAGCCAGGCGTGGTTGTGGGTGCCTGTAATCCCAGCTAGTTGGGAGGCAGAGGCAGGAGAATTGCTTGAACGCTGGAGGTGAAGGTTGCAGTGAGCCGAAGTCGTGCCATTGCACTCCAGCCTGGGCAAGAAAAGCGAAACTCTGTCTTAAAAAAAAAAAAGAGTCTGAAGTCTTGAAACAGCTACACTGTGTTCTGGGTGTTATAAGGGTGAAGGATAGAAGAATTATAGTAATAGCAGCTAATATTTCTAATTTATAATAAGAACTAAACACTGGCTGGGCGCAGTGGCTCACGCCTGTAATCCCAGCACTTTAGGAGGCTGAGGCGGGTGGATCACCTGAGGTCAGGAGTTTGAGACCAGCTTGGCCAACATGGTGAAACCTCGTCTCTACTAAAAATATAAACATTAGCCAGGCGTGGTGGCAGGCACCTGTAATCCCAGCTACTTGGGAGGCTGAGGCAGGAAAACTGCTTGAACCTGGGAGGCGGAGACTGCGGTGAACCAAGATCACGCCACTTCACTCCAGCCTGGGTGACAGAGTAAGACTCTGTCTCAAAAAAAAAAAAAAAAAAAAAAAAAAAAAGAACCAAGTACTGTACTGAACTACATAGATAATCACAATAAAGTATTAATAGTATTCCCATTTTACAGTTGAGAAAAGTAAGGTTTAATGGGTTGAAGACTTGCCCAAGTTCACACCTAAAATTACAGCGAGTTTTTTTTTTTTTTTTTTGAGACGGAGTTTCACTCTTTTTTTTTTTTTTTTTTTTTTTTGAGACGGAGTCTTGCTGTGTCACCCAGGCTGGAGTGCAATGGCCAGATCTCGGCTCACTGCAAGCTCCGCCTCCCAGGTTCACGCCATTCTCCTGCCTCAGCCTCCCGAGTAGCTGGGACTACAGGCACCCGCCACCTCGCCCGGCTAGTTTTTTTTTTGTATTTTTTATTAGAGACGGGGTTTCACCGTGTTATCCAGGATGGTCTCGATCTCCTGACCTCGTGATCCGCCCGTCTCGGCCTCCCAAAGTGCTGGGATTACAGGCTTGAGCCACCGCGCCCGACCGGAGTTTCACTCTTGTTGTCCAGGCTGGAGTGCAATGGCGCTATCTCAGCTCACTGCAACCTCTGCCTCCCCGGTTCAAGCAATTCTCCTGCCTAAGCTTCCCGAGTAGCTGGGATTACAGGCATGTGCCACCACACTCGGCTAATTTTGTATTTTTAGTAGAAACGGGGTTGCTCCACATTGGTCAGGCTGGTCTCGAACTCCTGACCTCAGGTAATCCACCTGCTTCAGCCTCCCAAAGTGCTGGGATTACAGGCATGAGCCACTGCGCCCGGCCCTGATAGTGAGAAGTTTTTTTTTTTTTTTTTTTTTTTTTTTTTTTTGAGACTGAGTCTGGCTCTGTCGCCCAGGCTGGAGTGCAGTGGCCGGATCTCAGCTCACTGCAAGCTCCGCCTCCCGGGTTTACGCCATTCTCCTGCCTCAGCCTCCGGTGTAGCTGGGACCACAGGCGCCCGCCACCTCGCCCGGCTAGTTTTTTGTATTTTTTAGTAGAGACGGGGTTTCACCGTGTTAGCCAGGATGGTCTCGATCTCCTGACCTTGTGATCCGCCCGTCTCAGCCTCCCAAAGTGCTGGGATTACAGGCTTGAGCCACCGTGCCCGGCTGAGAAGTTTTAACTCAGTAAATTGACTACAGAGCCTCAGCTTTTATTTATTTATTTTTATTTTTATTTTCTTTTTAAATTTTATTTTATTATTTCTTTCTTTAGCCCCAGCTTTTAAACCACAAATAAGAGTGACATGATCAGATTTCAGAAAAATTTCCTTCGGCTGCAGTGGAAAGGATGGATAAGAGATAGTGTTAATCGAAATGAGTGACTAAACAGACTAAACCATGTCACAGACACTTCTGTGGCTGCTTCTTCCCAAGAGGTTCTCAGGAGGTTTTTAGCATTTATACATTTTCTTTGAAAAGTGGGGGTGGGAAAGTGAGGCGAAGACTTTAGCTAATGCTCAGTAAATCTACATTTTGTTTTTTGAGACGGAGTCTTGCTCTGTTGCCAGGCTGGAGTGCAGTGGTGATCTCGGCTCACTGCAACCTCTGCCTCCAGGTTCAAGCGATTCCCCTGCCTCAGCCTCCCGAGTAGCTGGGACTACAGGCGCGCCACCGCGCCCGGCTAATTTTCTGTATTTTAGTAGAGACGGGGTTTTACCATGTTGACCAGGATGGTATCAAACTCCTGACCTTATGATCCGCCCCCTCCTCGGCGGCCTAAATCTACATTTTTACACAAGATAAGGTGAATGTTTGAGGAAAATGGGAATAGCGGAAGAAAACAATTGTGTGATGGACTCAGGGTAATCTAGTAGTAAGGTACTACTAGAAAGGTAGAAAGTAGTCTAGTAGAAAGGTAATATAGTAGTCAACATTTATGGAATTTGTGGAATAGAGGCCAGGTGAGGTGGCTCGCGCCTATATTCGTAGCACTTTGGGAGGACAAGGTGGGTGAATCACCTGAGGTCAGGCGTTGGAGGCCAGCCTAGCCAACAGGATGAAACCCCGTCTCTACTAAAAATATAAAAAATTAGCTGGGCATGGTGGTGCGTGCCTGTAGTCCCAGATACTCCGGAGGCTAGGCGGGAGAATCGCTTGAGCCCGGGAGGTGGAGGTTGCAGTAAGCCTACACCGTGCCACTGCACTACAGCCTGGGCGACAGGGTGAGTGAGACTCGTCTCAAAAAAAATGTGGAATACAACAAACTTTCGTTTTAGGAACTAGACTTTAGATTGCAGATCTAGTTACAATTGACACGTCCTTGTTTTATGGGAGGCTACATACTTTAAAGGTTTCCAGGGTAGCAAATAATTGTGATTTTGTGTATGTGTGTTTGTGGGGGGTAGTCATCAGGAAGTGTCTGAGGCCTTTTGCCTTACTGTGTAGGTCTGGCTAATGTGTAATATTTTGACTCAAGATTGTAAAGTCAAGTTATTCATCCGGGGAAAGGATGGTCGTGTAGCTGAATCAGCGTCCTAAACTGAACTTTCCCTTTGGCATAAGTTTAGGAGTCCTGATATTTTATTTTGCTTTACAACAGAAAGCAGCAACCCTGTAATCAAAGAGAACAATGAAGGAAGCTATCTAACCCATGAGGGTTACTGAGGATCTGCGCTGGGGTTAAGGCTGCTTAACTTAAGAAATATTCGGACAGACAGTTCTCATGGCTTGGTGTGGTTAGACGTGGTCATCCGTGGGCAGCAGCTAGGACGCTTACTCCGGTTTGGGCATTAAGGGCACAGTGCGTAGTGGTCCTGGAAGTAAAGGGAATCCTGGTTTTTCGCAGAGACCTTGGATTAACCTAAGCGTTTGGGTTTGGGAGCGGCCACAAGAGCGCCTCACTCCAGCCTCAGCCATCCGCAGCAGGGAGAGGTATTAGTATTTCCGCGCCCGCCCCCACGAGGAAAAGCGCCGAGTCATTCCGGTGGGGCGCGCCGGGCGGGGCTCGGGCCACATCCCCCTCCTCTTTCTTCTCTTCCAGAACCCCTGGTCCGCTCCGACTCTCGCGAGAGCCCTACTGGCTATAAAGGCAGCGCCCCGGGCGGATTTTGCGCGTTTTGTTCTTGCCTGTTTTGTTCTTCCGTGGTGTTGATCTGTGAGTTGTGTTAGGACTGGTGAGTGTGGGCAGCGCGGCCTCTGCGGAGTGAGGCGCGGCGCGCCTTTCTTGTCTGTTGCCTCTTCCTTCTCCTGTCCGGGGCTCGCCCGCCCTTGGGTGGGGGTACTGTGATGCGTGAGGCGGCCGGGGGAGACCCGGAGCCCGAGACTGCCTGAGCGCTACGCGCACCCCTCTCATGGGCCCCCCACGTAGGTGCGGGGACGTGGGACCCCAAGGCTAGCGTGGACTCGAGTCGAGTCGTTCCCCGGCAACTTGAGCACGTGGCGCGGCGTCTGGGCGGGCTGGTGGTGGGGTCTCCAAGACTAGCCTCCTGTCGGGCGGGGTGGGTTCGGGAAGCTTCTGGAATGGACCTGTATCCGGACTCGTGGCTGTAGAAGACAGCCTGTATTTTTGTCCATCTTGTGATAGGGTAAATGCTGTTCCGGGTCCTGAGCCTTGACTAGCTGCGGAGCTTCGGGTACCCTTTCCCCGTCTTTATTTTCCTGTACGTGGAATGGAGTTAGTGATGAGCCCAAATGTCCCCGCTGAAGCACTCTTTCTGCTGGTACTTTACACAGTGCTGGGGAGGGACAGGGGTACCTGAAGTGGGGTTCAGGGGTGTGGCCCTCGGCACTGGGCAGATCCCCTGAAGGGGCCCGGCGCCGGCCTGAAGCAGCCTTTACCCCGAATTGGTTGGGTTTGGTACTTGGGAGCCACCTGGGAAAGTAGGATGGGACGAGAAGGCCATTTGGGGACACCAAGTTGCAGCATGCATTAGTTTTTGGTTTTTGTTTTTTGTCGTTAAAGGTGTTAAGGACTTTTTAAAAAACAGTTTTTAAAGAACTTTAGGACTTGGAAAAACTTTTAGACTGCGGCTCAGTGGGTTAAAACTCTGTTTTTTTTTTTGAGAGAGTCTCGCTCTGTCGGCCAGGCTGGAGTAGCAGTGGTGCGGTCTCGGCTTACTGGGACAACCTCTGTCTGCCGAACTCAAGCAATTCTCCTCCCTCAGTCTCGCGAGTAGCTGGAATTACAGGCGTGTGCCACCAAGCCCCGGCAAATTTTTGCTGTTTTTCTTTTCTTTTTTTTTGAGATGGAGTCTCGCTTTGTCGCCCAGGCTGGAGTGCAGTGGTGCGATCTCGGCTCACTGCAAGCTCCGCCTCGCGGGTTCAGCCATTCTCCTGCATCAGCTCCTGAGTAGCTGGAACTGCAGACGCCGGTCACCACGCCCGGCTAATTTTTTTTTTTTTTTTGTAGTTGTAGTAGAGACGGGGTTTCACCATGTTGGCCAGGCCTGTCGCGAACTTTTTTTTTTTTTTTTTTTGAGACGGAGTCTTGCTCTGTCTCCTAGGCTGGAGTGCAGTGGCGGGATCTCGGCTCACTGCAGCCTCCATCTCCCGGTTTCAAGTGATTCTCCTGCCTCAGCCTCCGGAGTAGCTGGGACTACGGGCGCGTGCCACCACACCCGGCTAACTTTTTGTATTTTTGTTAGAGACGGGGTTTAACTATGTTGGCCGGGCTATTCTCGAACTCCTGACTTGAGGTGATCTGCCTGTCTCAGCTACCAAAGTGCTGGCATTACAGGCCAAGATCTCGATGCTTATCTTGGTGTTGATCTGGGTGAATCCTGCGCAACCTTCCTTTTCAGAAGTAAATTGATTCTTGTTCTACTTCTTTTCGCCCTGGGATATTAGCCCAGAAGTCAGGAACCCATTTGTGAAGGGACTTCTAGGGCTTACACAATACCTAAAGATTTGAAATTAAGCAGACGCCAATATCTTGGTCTTCCCGCGCCCCCCCCCCCCACCGGCTTTTTTTTTTCTTCACTGTATGGCCCAGAGTGAAAAGTCTCACTCTGTCGCCCAGGCTGCAGTGCAGTGGTGTGATCTTGCCTTACTGCAACCTCTGCCTCCCGGGTTCAAGCGATTCACCTGCTTCAGCAGCCTCCTGAGTAGTTGCGATTACAGGCATGCACCACCACTCTCGGCTAATTTTTGTATTTTTAGTAGAGACAGGGTTTCACCATGTTGGCCAGACTGGTCTTGAACTCCTGACCTTGTGATCCGCCTGCCTCGGCCTTCGGAAGTGCTGGGATTACAGGTGTGAGCCACCGCGCCCAGTGGTCTTGCCTCTTAAAAGTTGGACTGGCTGGAAGGGTGCGGTGGCTCACACCTGTAATCCCAGCATTTTGGGAGGCTGAGTTGGGCGATCACCTGAGGTGAGGAGTTCGAGACCAGCCTGACCAACATGGAGAAACCCTTTCTCTAATAAAACTACAAAAAAATTAGCCAGGTGTAGTGGCTAGCGCCTGTAATCCCAGATACTCCGGAGGCTGAGGCAGGAGAATCACTTGAACCCTAGAGGTGGAGGTTGCGGTGAGCCGAGATAGCGCCATTGCACTCCAGCCTGGGCCCCAAGAGCGAAACTCCGTCCAAAAAAAATAAAATAAAACAAGTTGTGTTAGTTATAGGTCGACCGTGTGCTGTCTTTGACAAAGCTACCTGGAGAAAAGTCAAATATGCTTCTGACGTTATTAAGGCAGGTGGAGGCACAGTAATGGGAAAGGTCAACATGACTATGAGCCAAACAAAAGTGTTTGTGGCATTGTGCATTTGGATTCTGGTTTGAGAGTCTTCACCTGCCTCCCTCTCTGCTTCTGTCTAATGAATAAGATGCCACTGCACTAATTATGGTTCAGAAAGAGTGAGAGGTTTTCTTAGTATATAAAGAAATTGCCTTGTCGTTTTTAAATGAAAACAAAGGCTGAGATTCAGAGACTTGTTTTGTTTCAAAAGCTCTGATTGTGACCCTTGACTGCTGGCCTGAGCTTCTTACTAAAATAACATTTAATGTATTCAGGGACACTGGACAATGCCTTGATTGTTCTACAGCTAAGTCTCTTAAGTAGGTGAAGGCTGCTGGTTATCTAGAAAATTAAGGCTTGTTTCTAATTAATTTCTGTTATTTCTAGCTAATAGGAAGATGTCTTCAGGAAATGCTAAAATTGGGCACCCTGCCCCCAACTTCAAAGCCACAGCCGTTATGCCAGATGGTCAGTTTAAAGATATCAGCCTGTCTGACTACAAAGGTAAGAGAATTTACACTGGGCTCATTGAGATGGAGTTATTTTATATTCTAGGGATGGCTTGTTAGATTTGTGTCAGTGTCAGATTATGTTTGACTGTAAAACGTTTTGTCTCCTAGAAAGAAGTATTTAGGTTGTTACCTTCATGTTGAAGTAGTGATTATCAAGTGATTACAGGGTATATATCCTAGGACCAAACCACTTCTGGAGAAACCACATGCTTCATTATGTCTGGACATACTAGCTCAATTATCTTTTTAGTATTCCTCCTCTATTTTCTTTATTTATTTTTATTTTTGAGACAGGGTCTCATTCTGTCACCCAGGCTGGAGTGCAGTGGTGCAGTCATGGCTCACTGCAGCCTCTACCTCTCTGGACTCAGGCGATCCTCCCACCTCAGCCTCCCAAGTAGCTGGGACTGTAGGGGCATGCCACCATGCCCGGCTAATTTTTGTGTTTTTTGTAGAGATGGGCACCATCTCCAACTCCTGGGCTCAAGCCCTCTACCTGCCCCAGCCTTTCAAAGTGCTGGGATAACAGGTGTGAGCTACTGCATCTGGCCCTCCTCTATTTTATTATTGGAGAAATTCACATTATCTCTTGTTTTGTTTTGTTTTGTTTTTGAGACGGAGTCTCGCTCTGTCGCCCAGGCTGGAGTGCAGTGGCCGGATCTCAGCTCACTGCAAGCTCTGCCTCCCAGGTTTACGCCATTCTCCTGCCTCAGCCTCCCGAGTAGCGGGGACTACAGGCACCTGCCACCTCGCCCGGCTAGTTTTTTTGTATTTTTTAGTAGAGACGGGGTTTCACCGTGTTAGTCAGGATGGTCTCGATCTCCTGACCTCGTGATCCGCCCGCCTCGGCCTCCCAAAGTGCTGGGATTACAGGCTTGAGCCACCGCGCCCGGCTATCTCTTGTTATAAGAGACATTCTACATTTAAAGTCTCAGAACTCACTCAACTCTTTGGAGCTGTGACACTGCTTGTTCATTTGGGTCACATATATATTACAGTTGTTAATATTAAGCTGAGGGCTAGGCACTTTCCCTTGCCTGTTTTGACCCCAGAGGAGAGTTGATATTACAGATGGAACAACTCTCCTTTCTGTTGTCATAGTTTCATGCAGACACTTGGCAAGTTCTGTTGAGGCTCCTCCTTCCTTTACCTTGTAGTCCCAGAGCAGCTGGATCTCCTGGGACAGTTGAGGATATAGATTCCTTAGAATGCAAACCTGAAACTCAGGTGTCAAGTGTCCTTTTCTCAGTGGTGTAGCATCAGTTTCTGAAGTTAGTTTTTGCTAGAACATTTGACTAGGTTTCCTGACATAATCACAGTTTGTTGATGGGGCTTCTCCTAGCAAACAAGGTAAGTTGCACCGTAGGGAGGTGACCTTGGCCCAGGAGTATAAGCAGGAGGTCTAGGAGCAGCTGCTCTCTGCCCTCCAGGGTTTGACCTGCTGAGGCCCCATGGTGCTTGTTAGGCAAATCCCTGCAGGGGTTGTTTAGATGAGTTAGTTTCCAGTGATACTGCAAAGTGGTAATGTCTAAAAGGGCTGCTTGTTTGACTTTTTTTTTTTTTTGAGATGGAATTTTGCTCTTGTTGCATAGGCTGTAGTGCAGTGGCATGGTCTTGGGTCACTGCGACCTCCATCTCCCCAGTTCAAGTGATTCTCCTGGCTCAGCCTCCCGAGTAGCTGGGATTTCAGGCCCCCGCTATCACGCCCAGCTAATTTTTGTATTTTTAGTAGAGACACGTTTCACCATGTTGGTCAGGCTGGTCTTGAACTCCTGACCTCAGGTGATCCACCTGCCTCGGCCTACCAAAATGCTGGAATTACAGACATGAGCCACCATGCCAGGCTGAGCCACCACACCCAGCCTATTTGACTTTGCAAACATTGCTGCTACCTGGAAATGAGTGAATATTTGGAATTGTTCTGGTATTTAAGCCTGGTGGGTGTGGTGAAAAGGCTAGGCTGCCTGACCAGTTTGACGATCTGTTATTTCAGTGGTTAATCCCAGTGACTTCATTAAAATTGCAGCTAGAAGTTCTGTTACTCTCTAGTACTTTTGTCTTTTCTCTGTCTCTCTCTGTGTATGTGTATGTATGTATTTTTTGTTGTTTTGAGACCGTCTTGCTCTGTTGCCCAGGCTGGCCTCAAACTCCTGGGGTCAAGGGATCCTCCCACCTCAGCCTCCCAAGTAGCTGGGACTACAAGCACGCACCACTGTGCCTGGCTTAAAATTTTTCCTGTCCTGTCAGGCACGTTAGGAACACATGTGATCACTTAAACCATGCTTGTTCCATTACTATGGTTCATCACGGGAGAAGTGCAAAGGCTCTGACTTCTTATTGGTGTCTTATCTCTACAGCAGAGGAGTGCTGCAATTCAGCTTCTCTGGGCACTGTTTGTTAAGCGTTGGTATTAGGCCATGCTTATAAGTGCATCCTTGCTTTTGCTATCTTTGGAGAACTTGGTGTTTATGCTAATTTTAGCCACTCAGAAAAGATCAAAATTAGACTGAACAGTGTTTATTCTGTGGTTGGCAGCTAAGAATATGGAGGCAGGAGAATAAAGCATGGGATTGGAAGTTTCTTTCATTCAGGTTTTCCTAATGCACCAGGTTCTAAAAGTAGCTACTAGGAGACATCTATATCGAGCATCTTGGCATTTAGTGGTTATTGTGTCAGCCATCAACTTGCTTCTTTTTGTATAGGAAAATATAAAGCAAGGAAGTCTGTGTCAAATGCTAACCATGACTCCTGTTTTTCCCCCAGGAAAATATGTTGTGTTCTTCTTTTATCCTCTTGACTTCACCTTTGTGTGCCCTACGGAGATCATTGCTTTCAGTGATAGGGCAGAAGAATTTAAGAAACTCAACTGCCAAGTGATTGGTGCTTCTGTGGATTCTCACTTCTGTCATCTAGCATGGTAAATCTCTTGGTTCATTTGGCATATGAACTTTTTTTTTATTTTTTGAGATGGAGTCTCGCTCTGTCGCCCAGGGTAGAGGGCAGTGGTGTGATCTTGGCTCACTGCAAGCTCCGCCTCCTGGGTTCACGCCATTCTCCTGCCTCAGCCTCCAGAGTAGCTGGGACTACAGGTGCCCACCACCAGCCCGGCTAATTTTTTGTATTTTTAGTAGAGATGAGGTTTCATCGTGTTAGCCAGGATGGTCTCGATCTCCTGACCTCATGATCTGCCCGCCTTGGCCTCCCAAAGTGTTGGGATTACAGGTGTGAGCCACCGCACCTGGCCGCATGTGAACTTTTAAAACAGCAACTGGGAAGCTTTGGCAATAGACTTTCAAGTATTGGCTTCTCATGGAAGAAGTGCAAAGTCTGACTTTCTCTTACTGCTCATGACCTGGCAGCAGAGAAGCAGCAGCTTCAGTTGCAGTTGAGTGTACCCTAGTAACCTACCTTAACTGTTCTCAGCATTCACTTTATTGCTGGAAAAGGAAAAAAACAGTTTTTTTGGAAAGTTAGATTAGGAATATGGGAAAGGGGGAAAGAGGAATAGGTACAGTTAAGTCAAGAGTTTGAATGTAACTGTGTTTGCCTTTTGCCGTAGGATCAACACACCTAAGAAACAAGGAGGACTGGGACCCATGAACATTCCTTTGGTATCAGACCCGAAGCGCACCATTGCTCAGGATTATGGGGTCTTAAAGGCTGATGAAGGCATTTCATTCAGGTATGTCATCAGGACAAGTACCCAGTTGGCTGAAAGCCTTTTATTTGGAGAAATCTAGAGCCCTGATCTGTAGAGACTCCTTCATCATTTCATTCCTTTATGCAGGGGCCTTCTCACTAAGGCCAGGCCAGTATGAATGTGGAGACCAGTTCATTTCCTTAAGACTTCAAGCTTCTGTATTCTAACAAAGCACATCTTTAAACCTGTATTGCTTTTCCTTTCATCTCTTTTCCCAGGGGCCTCTTTATCATTGATGATAAGGGTATTCTTCGGCAGATCACTGTAAATGACCTCCCTGTTGGCCGCTCTGTGGATGAGACTTTGAGACTAGTTCAGGCCTTCCAGTTCACTGACAAACATGGGGAAGGTAAGCCATCTGTCTGATAAAAGGATAACAGAGTGGTGGTAGAATGGGAAAGATAGTAGGAACAGAAGCTACCTAATAAGAAAAGGGGTATTTCTCTTCAAGATATTGAAGCCCCTGGATTACAGTATGTGAGGGTGAGGGTAATGGAAAAGCTTGGGAAGGAGAATATAAAGACTTTTTATTCGAAGTGTACATACTCCTCTCTTCTGCCCTGCTCATTTAGAATCAGTCACTCCTAAAGATCTAACTTAATGTAGGATGATCTCACAGATGTATTAGGGCAAAACAAAATGGTTGGGAATCACATCTAGAGATGAAGCATGCCATTTAAAAAATAACTGTTGAGAGAAGAGGTTAATCCATATAGTTCATATTTGTATTTATTTATTTATTTATTTTTTGCAAGACAGAGTCTTGCTCTGTTGCCCAGGCTAGAGTGCAGTGGCGCAGTCTTGGCTCACTGTGACCTCCACCTCCCATGAGCCATCGCGCCCAGCCCAGACTAGCTTTCTAAGGCCCATTTTAGCTCTGATCTTGTGATTTAAAGAAAATGAAGTTTAGTGACTAGAGTCTGGATTAGTGGTGTATGTTTGGGAAGACCCAAAGGTGCTAGTTTGGCTAGCACCAAATAATCTTTTTACAGGGATTACTTTTTAATCCCTGTAAGAGTCTGATTATATAGGGATCAGTGAGCACTGATAACCAGGAGGTACCCTTTTCAGAAGGATGTGTGGGCAATTAGCCTGGACAGATAACACATGGCTCAGCTGACACCTGCTGAGACTGCCCCCTTGTGGGAGATGAGGTTCAGCATTAAGAAGGAGCCGGCAGTGGCAAAGTAGGCCCTTTAACTGGACTTTCCTGGGAACCTACATATAGGTTAGTCTCCCGAACACAAGCTTTCATGACTCAGAAGCTTGCTTCTTCAGACTCTATTGGTCTCTTCTGCTTCCCATCCCACTGGAACATGTACAGCTTCTTAAATAGGCACCATTCAAGAGCCTATGAATGCCAAACACTATATATATATATATATATATATTTTTTTTTTTTTTGAGACAGAATCTTGTTTTGTTGCCCAGACTGGAGTGCAGTGGTGTGATCTCGGCTTACTGCAGCCACCACCTCCTGGGTTCAAGCAATTCTCTAGCATCAGCTTCCTGAGTAGCTAGGACTACAGGGGCCCACCACCATGCCCCACTAATTTTTGTATGTTTTGTAGAGATGCGATTTTGCCATGTTGGCCAGGCTGGTCTCAGAACTCCTGAGCTCAAGCTCAAGCAGTCCTCCGCCTTGGCCTCCCAAAGCACTGGGATTATAGGCGTGAACCACTGTGCCCGGCTGCCAAACACTTGTTTTTTTGAGATGGAGTCTCGCACTGTCATCCGGGCTAGAGTGCAGTGGTATGATCTCAGCTCACTGCAACCTCTGCATCAAGCAATTCTCCTGCCTCAGCCTCCCGAGTACCTGGGATTATAGGCGCTCACCACCACGCCCAGCTAATTTTTTATATTTTTAGTAGAGACGGGGTTTCATTATGTTGGCCAGGCTGGTATTTATTTGCTTTTATGCTGTTCTTTCCAACTTGTTTATCTTTAGGACCTGTATTGTAACCCTTTGATATCACTAAAGCCAATAACTAACAATCAGATGGAGATTTTAGGAAAATAATGGCAGCTTGTCCTTCTATTTAGCTCTTGTTCCATCTGTACCTTATGCCTAGAGAGCTGTTTGTAGAGTCTTGATATTTGAGGTTATGATATCCTTGGACCAAAGAGGGGCCTCCCTATGTCTCACTTGAGCAATTGAGACTCTTGCTGCTCCTGCTGGACTTTGATTACATGTCTCGTAGAATATGACAGCACATGGTAGTGGAAAAATCAGGCCAGGTGCGGTGGCTCACGCCTGTAATCCTAGCACTTTGGGAGGCCGAGGCAGGCAGATCACCTGAGGTCAGGAGTTTGAGATCAGCCTGGCCAACATCGTGAAACCCCATCTCTACTAAAAATACAAAAATTAGCCGGGTGCGGTGGCAGGCGCCTGTAATCCCAGCTACTTGGGAGGCTTATGCAGGAGAATTGCTTGAACCTGGGAGACCAAGGTTGCAGAGAGAGGTGGGGATCACGCCACTGCACTCCAGCCTGGGCAACACAGCGAGACTCCATCTCAAAAAAAGAAAAAGAAAAATGAGAGATTAGTCCCCTTGCCTCACTTTCTTCAGGCTAGCCTGAGACACATTCTTAGGCATTGTCAGGAAAAGGTTGAAGGCTGTGCTTTCTGTATACATTCACGAAAAATCTCAAACTTTGCCTTTTGCTTACCGAGGGGTAGATGGCAGTTACTTAATGAAACAAGCAGGGGCTTCTATTAAGTTCTTGATCCTTTATAAGGTTCAGGCTTTCCAGTTTGGTAGCGTTAGAAGAATGCTGAGAAGGCAGACTGAGGTTGCTGCCTTCAGAGTTCTGAAGGGCTGTCAGAGGGAAACAGTTTAGTGTTAAGGGTTTACATAGTTCTATGTGTATCATTTACTTAGCTTTTTTTTTTTCCCTTAAGGACTAGAGAGTGTTGGCAAATCATTTAAACTTGCCTTTTTTGTGGAAAATTTAAATTTTAAGTGCTACATGAATAAATTAGGCATAATAGTATCTTAAGGCTGTGGTGATGATTATATAATGTTTGTAAAATAGTTAGGTTACACTAAAAGGCTGAATGATCTTAGACCGATTGCAGGGGTAGGTTTCCTGGTATCTGAGTGTTCAGGCTCTTTAGGGTGCAGAACTGGTTTTGTCCATAGGAGAATGGTGGTGCATACCATTGAGAAGGTTATTAATTAGTGGTACCTTTCTTTTGCAGTGTGCCCTGCTGGCTGGAAACCTGGCAGTGATACCATCAAGCCTGATGTCCAAAAGAGCAAAGAATATTTCTCCAAGCAGAAGTGAGCGCTGGGCTGTTTTAGTGCCAGGCTGCAGTGGGCAGCCATGAGAACAAAACCTCTTCTGTATTTTTTTTTTTTCCCCATGAGTAAAACACAAGACTTCAGATTCAGCCGAATTGTGGTCTTGTTACAAGGCAGGCCTTTCCTACATGGGGTGGAGAGACCAGCCTTTCTTCCTTTGGTAGGAATGGCCTGAGTTGGTGTTGTGGGCAGGCCACTGGTTTGTATGATGTATCAGTAGAGCAACCCGTTAATATTTTGTAGTTTGTATTAAACCTGAACTGAGACCTTGATGAGTCTTTATTTTAGGAGGTATATTACTAGCTTTTGATTTTAAGAGGAATTTACTCTGCTTTCCCTGTTTAGGGGAAAATGAGAGCTGCCTCCAAATCGGGATTATATTGACACAGGTAGACACAGGGAATGGAACTGAATGAACCCAAGGTGTTAACATTTTGTTTCACTACACATGAGGGAGAAGAATAAGCCCTGCTATAGTGTTGACTGGAGCATGGCGACTTATGCCACAGACTGGGTTGCCAGTTAGTCTCGGTGTGACTACTTGGACACCTATTTTTACTTGGACACACTATTCAAAGGGCTGCATGGGAACCAGAAACTTGGCCTCTTCTGATAAATGCCTGGTACCTGCTATGTAAAAGAGAGTTGGAGGTTTCTTTTTCTTTTGAACTGGCAGAAAGAGGAAGACAGAAAGGGCTGGTGGCCTTGGGTAGGGCTTTCAGTAGTTGTACAGTACTGGGCAATTCTTAGCCTTCCCTGGGTTCTAGCCTTGATTAGAGATAGTCTTTTTTAGTGTCACTATGTTGCCCAGACTGGTTCTGAACTCCTCGCCTCAAGTGGTCCTCCGCCTCAGCCTCCCAAAATGGTGGGATTAGAGGTGAGAGCCACAGTGCCTGGCCAAAGCCCGTTTTGATCCTCATTTATATGTCATTGTCCTTAGAGAGGTTGTCAGCTGGGAAAAGTTATTCTGGGCCCTTGAGGCCAGGGTAGATTGAGAACTGAGGATACTTCTGTGTGTCATGTGATACCATTCCAGCCACTTGTCTTCCTCAGCTACTCCAACCTGCCCAGCCCTCTAGAACCCAGACTACACCCATGAGCAGCAGTACAGAATTCCCAGGGCCTTTGGTAACAGCCAACATACAGTTTACTGTATGTCAGGTACTTTCCAAAGTGCTGTACACGTGTTTATTCAGTTCCTACGTGAGGTAGGTACTTTTTTCTTTTTTTGAGACAGTCTCAGACTGTCGCCCAGGCTAGAGTGCAGCTATGCAATCTCGGCGCCAAAAAATTAGCCAGGTGTGGTGGCAGGCACCTGTTGTTCCAGCTACTCGGGAGGCTGAGGCAGAGAACTGCTTGAACCCAGGAGTCGGAGGTTGCAGTGAGCGGAGATTGCGCCACTGCACTCCAGCCTAGGTGACAAGAGTGAGACTGTCTTAAAAAAAAAAAAAATTGCATTTGAAGGCAGATGGGAATTCTGGTTTCCTGGCCTTTATCTTGGCCAAACTTCCTTGAGCCTTGTTACCTTCATGGAAGATCTCTATGGTATTATCAAAAATAGTAATCTTGTACTCAGAACCTTTTCCTTTGCCAAAGCCAATTAAGTCCTAGCAAGTACCTCCATAAATCAGGGTCTACATGGGAGAAAGGTATCAAGGGCCAGGGGATGCAGGTGGTGAGACCCTGGGGCTGAGCCAGCTCCGGGCTCTGCTGGGCTTCCCAGGCTTCTTGGGGGTGTGTGTGGTAAAAGGAAAGTCTGGGGAGGGAGAACTAGGCTTCTCTGAGGGCTGAACCAAGCCCAGGAGGGCCAATCGTTGGGCAGGCGGAGTGGAGAAGTAGGCCTTCTGCTCTTCGGAGTAGCGCTCCTGGGGTGTCACAGCATCCCGGTAAGTCCAGTCTCGCCAGTGGAAATTGAAGCCTTCGAGTAGGGCGATACGGGCAGCTCTTGTAGGTACACAGTCATGAGGTTTTCTGGGTGGCAGATCTGGCACCTCTATCCCTGGCAGCAGCACTACCCCTCGGATGGCAAACCAGCCCCCAAATCGGGGGTGTATGCACACACCTGATATGTGCTGGGGTGAGTGAAGAAAAGCAAGGTCACGGAGGTCCCCTTGGCACCAAGTCCAACTGCCATCATTGCAAGCTAGGCCTGTTCATTTATTTCCCACTCAGTGTACGCTGACTACATAAACTTCTGTCCCTTATGAAAGGGTTGGCAAACCCTTTCATAAACTATTCTGAGCACAAGGAAGGGCTTGGGCTTACCCAGTCTCACCACTATTCTGAACACTGCTGTGCCCCCTCTATCCTAAGATGGTTCTGCAGACTAGGTTTTCTGATCTCACAAGTCCCCAGTCAATCACATGTGACAGGACTGCCCCCCTGTCCAGGACAAAGCTTATTTGTTCTGGGTTGTGTCAAACAAATCCATCCAGGGAAGGCTGAGGAATGTGGGACCTGGTAGGGAGAGGCCTTTACCAGTCTGTCTCAGTCTCTATTTACATTTTCCCTCTCACCTGGTTCCCCCATGGGTCAGCCTCCACATCTTGTCGTTGGTAGTAGTAAGCAGCCCCTGCCACATGGGCTGCTGTCTGGGCCAGGATCTTGGGGCGTCGGTTGGGGTGCACTTCGTAGTCAGCAATGACTTCTATCTGCAGCTCTGGGAGGCTCTGGAACAGTGGACAAGATAGAGGGTACTGTCAGCATGAAGGGAGTTATGACCTTATCCTAGGGAGCCCTAGTTTGTTTGTGAACATGGTCCTGTCCTCAGAAAGGAAAACATGACCTTAACTTGGGAGGCTCCAGTGTGGACATAGTTATAGTTATTTCCAGAAGTGCCCATGTTTGAAGGGAAATACACAAGTTCTGGTGTGGAGGAAGGCATGGCCAGCTTTGGGGAGATCCAGTGGGTGTGTACATAGTTATGTGTATATGTGAGTGTGTGTTGGGAGAATATTGTTCTGTCCTCAAAAGGACAGCATAAAGCTTGCAGGTCTAGGGCAAAGCAACACCTGGGGAATGTTGAATTCATTCCTATTCCACTTGGAGGCCAAGGAAAACCTGGTCTGAGGTTCATGTAGTTGCCCATCAGTGTAGGGTGAGAGAGACTGATTACACACTGGGGTACTGGTAGAGGAGGGTAGTGGAACTTGGGTGTGTGAGAAGGCAGAATGAGGAAAGATCACAGAATGTCAAGCCTGACTTTAGGACATCATTTCACCTTTGAAGTGGCTCCTAGCCCTAGGTCTAGATCCTGCATTGAGGCTGGAGGAACTGGAGGCAGCTGTAGCTTTGGGAGGTGGGGGAAAACAGCCTTCCTCACCTCTCTAACACGGCCCAGATGGTAGGCCACACACTGGTCCACTGGGTCGGTCAGCATTCGGAGGTGGCAGCTCTGCAAGAAGGGCTTGAGGGCCTGGTCAAACATGGCAGGTGTGCTGAGTACCAGGAAGGCCAGGGTAGGTCCTGGCAGCAGTAGGTGGAAGGCTGGAGGCAAGAGTTCATTGTACCATGCCACCTGAAACAGAAAGTTCAGGCCAGGCTGGAGAGGGCCAGTCTAGGCCTTAGCCTGGCCCACACCTTAACCTTCAGGCCTCCCACTTTTGCCCCAGCCTCCAGCTCACTCATTCAGTTAATTTTCACTGATGCTATGTGATTTATTTTTACCAGCAACTCAACTGAATTTGACAGGGAATTATTTTTTGAGACAGAGTCTTGCTCTGTCACCAAGGATGGAGTGCAGTGGTGTGATCTTGGCCCACTGCAACTTCGGCCTCTCAGATTTCAAGTGATTCTCGTGCCTCAGCCTCCTGAGCAGCTGGGATTACAGACGTGCACCACCACGCCTGGCTATTTTTTGTATTTTTAGTAAAGACGGCGTTTCGCCATGTTGGCCAGGTTGGTCTCGAACCCTTGGCCTCACTAGGACCCACCTGCCTCAGCCTTCCAAAGTGCTGGGATTATATAGGCGTGAGCCACCGAGCGTGGCCCAGGGAATTATTTATTTGTTTATTGAAGGACTGACTGATAACAAATAATTCAGGCCTCATCCAACTACAAATGAACCAATGAAAATGAAAAACCCTGCTGGGCGTGGTGGCTCACAGCTATAATCCCAGCACTTTGGGAGGCTGAGGCAGGTGGATCACCTGAGGTCTGGAGACCAGCCTGGCCAACATGGTGAAACCCTGCCTCTACTAGAAATACAAAAATTAGACAAGCATGGTGGCGCTCGCCTGTAATCCCAGCTACTCAGGAGGCTGAGGCAGGAGAATCGCTTGAACCTGGGAGGCAGAGGTTGCAGTGAGACAAGATCGTGCCATTGCACTCCAGCCTGGGTGATGGAGTGAGACCTCGCCTCAAATAATAATAAAAGAAAATGAAAACCCAGGAATGAGGCCCCACAGAGCAGAGTTCCTAAATCCACAACTGACTGAGGTGCTTGAGGGCACAGGAACAGTCAAAGTGGCTGTCAATGCACTTGTCCTCCAAGTTCAACACCTTGAAGGTATTCTAAGACAAAAGCAAGATTGGAGATTTCTCAAAGCAGAATCAACATATGATGCTATAACAGTTGTTCAGAAAAATATTGTTAATCTGGAGAAGCATGTTGCTGCAGCCAAGCCTGAGAGGGAGAAAACCACCTGAACCCTCAATGCTGTTCATGCCACAGCCCAACTCATCCTCAAATGACACAAAACGATGTGGTTCCACCAGTCTCTTCCCAACCAGCACTTCTTTACCCTTTTGATATGTCGCCAGGGGAAACTATCAGCAGCAGCAAGCTACGTCTCCGCTGAAGATCAAGGGGTTATAATAGATGAAAACTTCACTATGTCCAGAGCATCTCCATACAGACAGATCAAAGACAACACCATAGTTCCAGGCTATGTAACCCTAACTCTAGAGATGAATTTGGAGAGAACAGGCAGTTTCTTTCTTTTTTTTTTTTGAGATGGAGTCTCGCTCTGTTGCCCAGGCTGGAGTGCAGGGGCGTGATCTTCGCTCCCTGCAACCTCCGCCTCCCGGGTTCAAGTGATTCTCCTGCCTCAGTCTCCCGAGTAGCTGGGACTACAGGTGCGTGCCACCACGCCCAGCTAATTTTGTATTTTTAAGAGAGACGGGGGTTTCACCATGCTGGCCAGGATGGTCTCGATCTCCTGACCTCATGATCCACCTGCCTTGGCCTCCCAAAGTGCTGGGATTACAGGCATGAGCCACCGCACCCAGCCCAGGCAGTTTCTTAAAATACTGTTTTTAGGCTGGGCATGGTGGCTTACACCTGCAATCCCAGCACTTTGGGAGGCTGAGGCAGGAGGACTGCTTGGGGCCAAGAGTTTGAGACCAGCCTGGTCAACAGAGCAAGAACTTGTCTTTATTTTTTTATTTTAATTAATTAATTTTTTTTTAGATGGAGTCTCACTCTGTTGCCAGGCTGGAGTGCAGTGGTGCAGCCTCGGCTCATTGCAACCTCCACCTCCCAGGATTCAAGTGATTCTCCGGTCTCAGCCTCCCGAGTTGCTGGGACTATAGGCGTGCGCCACTATGCCCAGCTAATTTTTGTATTTTTTAGTAGAGATGGGGTTTCACCATGTTGGCCAGGATGGTCTCGATCGCTTGACCTCATGATCCACCTGCATCGGCCTCCCAAAGTGCTGGGATTATAGGCGTGAGTCACTGCGCCTGGCGAGAACCTATCTTTAAAAACAAAGCCCCCCCACCCTTTTAAAAAAATGTATACAGTCTCACTGTCACCCACTGTCACTGCTAGGGTGCAGTGGCATGATGTTGGCTCACTGCAACCTCTGCCTCCTGGGTTCAAGTGATTCTTGTGCCTCAGCCTCCCAAGTAGCTGGGATTATGGGCGTGTGCTACCAGGCCTAGCTAATTTTTTGTACTTTTAGTAGAGACAGGGCTTCGCCATGTTGGCCAGGCTGGTCTCGAACTCCTGGCCTCAACTGATCTGCCTACCTTGGCCTCCCAAAGTGCTAGGATTACAGGCGTGAGCTTCCATGCCAGGCCAAAAAAACCATTTTTATCAGTTGATGAACTGACGCTACCAAAGAGGCTAGAAACATACTTAACCTCTGACTTGAGCCCATCAGGGGTTTTCCTGCTTTTTTTTTTTTTTTTTTTTGAGACAGTCTTGCCCTGTCATCTAGGCTAGAGTGCAGTAAGGTGATCACAGCTCACTGCAGCCTCAACCTCCCTCCCTCAGGCAATCATCCCACCTCAGCCTCCCAAGTGGCCGGGACCACAGGTGTGAACCACCACACCTGGCTGGCTAATTAAAACAAAAAAATAATTTGTTGTAGAGACAGGGTCTCCCTATGTTGCCCAGGATGGGATTTTCCTGCTTTTGACAGACTTTCTTGTTACCATGCTCAACACCCCTAACAGGAATCTTGTATTTTTTTTTTTGAGACGGAGTCTCGCTGTGTCGCCCAGGCTGGAGTGCAGTGGCCGGATCTCAGCTCACTGCAAGCTCTGCCTCCTGGGTTTTTACGCCATTCTCCTGCCTCAGCCTCCCGAGTAGCCGGGACTACAGGCGCCCGCCACCTCGCCCGGCTAGTTTTTTGTATTTTTTAGTAGAGACGGGGTTTCACCGTGTTAGCCAGGATGGTCTCGAACTCCTGACCTCGTGATCCGCCCGTCTCGGCCTCCCAAAGTGCTGGGATTACAGGCTTGAGCCACCGCGCCCAGCCTTTTTTTTTTTTTTTTTGAGATGGAATTCTGCTTTTGTTCCCCAGGCTGGAGTTTGTGGCGCAATCTTGGCTCACTGCAACCTCCGCCTCCTGGGTTCAAGATATGTCTGATCCAGTTTTGTTTTGTTTTTGAGACAGTCTTTCTCTGTTGCCCAGGCTGGAGTGCAGTGGTGCCATTTCAGCTCACTGAAACCTCCACCTCCTAGGTTCAAGCGATTCTCCTGCCTCAGCCTCCCGAGTAGCTGGGATTACAGGTGTCTGCCAGCATGCCTGGCTCATTTTCTGTATTTTTAGTTGAGACGGGGTTTCGTCATGTTGGTGAGGCTGGTCTTGAACTCCTGACTTCAGATGGTCCACCCGCCTCCGCCTCCCTAAAGTGCTGGGATTACAGGCATGAGCCACCGTGCCTGGCCAGCAAGCTTATGTTTTTGAGGTTGACCAATCAGCAAAGCAAATATGTGATTAATGCAAACTTTATTTTCAGTTTTAGGACACACAATATTTGCTTTTGTCCACTTGGCCTGGACATCCAAGAAATTGGATTCACCTGTAACACACTGTCTACACCCACATTCACACACTGAACATGGAGAAGAACTGTCACAAGAAGCCTGAACTAAAGACCTGTAACATAACCTGCAATGAACTTGCTAAATCACATAGTTGTGGAGGTTGCTGCTGTTCACACGAAGTGCTATGGATATACCTGCATCACTTACTGGGGATTTCTGACTCATAGTGCAGAACACTTGACACAGGTCTACACAGGCTACCTGGGGTTGTGCATTACTGGGACAGAGTGGGATGACCATTACTCGTTTGATTGTAGCTGGTTTTACTGCTGTAACAGATAAGTGAAGTCTGTGTCAGTGCTCAACTCATAATGTGACTGTTGTGGTTAGGTCTCTTCCCCCTCATGTCTACTATAGGTTCATGTATTATATGACAAGGAACTTAGAATAGAGAGGCAGAAATCCCAGCTACTCAGGAGGCTGAGGCAGGAGAATTGCTTGAACCCGGGAGGCAGAGGTTGCAGTGAGCCGAGATGGCGCCATTGCACTCCAGCCGGGGCAACAGAGTGAGACTCCATCTCAAAAAAAAGGAAGAAAGGCAGAGAGTTATTGAGTTATTATTATTATTATTATTATTATTATTATTATTATTGAGATGGAGTTTCGCTCATTTGCCCAGGCTGGAGTGCAATGGTGCAATCTCCGCTCACCACAACCCCCACCTCCCAGGCTCAAACAATTCTCCTGCCTCAGCCTCCTGAGAGCCGGGATTACAGGTGCACACCACCACACCCAGCTAATTTTCTATTTTTAGTAGAGACGGGATTTCACCATGTTGGCCAGGCTGGTCTTGAACTCCTGACCTCCAGTAATTCACTCACCTTGGCCTCCCAAAGTGCTGGGATTACAGGTGAGAGCCACCACGCCTGGCCACAGAAAGTTCTAGTAGGCAGAATCAACTAAGAACAGCAGAAATGACTGTACTATAGCTAGTGCAATGACAGGGTCAGATGGGGTCCTCTGAAATTAGAAAAGGCTTCCTTGTGGCTGGGCATGGTGGCTCATGCCTGTAATCCCAGCACTTTGAGAGGCCGAGGTGGGCAGATCACCTGAGGTTGGGAGTTGAAGACCAGCCTGACCAACATGGAGAAACTCTGTCTCTACTAAAAAAAATACAAAATTAGCCGGGCGTGTTGGTGCATGTCTGTAATCCCAGCTACTCTGGAGTCTAAGGCAGGAGAATCACTTGAACCTGGGAGGCAGAAGTTGCAGTGAGCTGAGATCGCACCATTGCACTCCAGCCTGGGCAACAAGAGCAAAACTCCGTCTCAAAAAAAAAAAAAAAAAAAGAAAAGAAAAGAAAAGGCTTTCTTGGATGCTAAGTCTTGAAGGCTAGAAAATCAACTGGTCAACTGTCAGGTTGATGTGGGGAGGAGAATCTGGTGTGCATTTATTATTTATATTTCACCAAAAAAGACATAAACTCACTGGTATGTATTTTAAAAAGAGGTCACAGACTAAGTGCGGTGACTCATGCATGTAATCCCAGTGCTTTGGGTGGCCAAAGCAGGAGGACCACTTGAGGCCAGGAGTTCAAGACCAGCCAGGGCAACAAAGTGAGACACTGAGTTTTGGTGCATGCCTGGAGTCAGTTACTTGGGAGACTGAAGTGGGAGGATCACTTGAGCCCAGGAGTTTGAGGCTGCAGTGAGCTATGATTGCACCACTGCACTCCAGCCTGGAGGACAGAGTGAGACTTTGTCTCTAAATAAATAAAGAATAAAATAAACAGAAGTCACAGCATAAGCAAACACACTGGCAGAAAATTCCTGGGCATATTTGAAAATTGTCTAGTTTGGTGGAAGTGAAGGGTCCGTAGAGGGAATCAGAGGGAGAGAAGGCTGGAGAGATCAATAGGAGTGAGATTTTGATTGGCTTTGAATACCAATTTAAAGAATATGAATTTAATTTGGTGACAGTGAAGAGTCACTGATGATTTAAGAAGTAAACTAGCATGATCAGTTTTAGATCAAGCTGGCTGCAGTGTGGAGGATGGACTGGAGGTAAAATGACAGCAAGGAGGTTATTACAGTAATCCAAGTGAGAAATGGTGGCCTGAACCACAGCATAGACGGGTGGAATAGAAGGGAATGGACTTGGGAGATTCAGTAGACAGTCTTATAGGATGTGGGGGTAGAGAGGTGAGAGGTAGGAGCCTAGGGTGACTGGCAGGGCTGCAGTTGGCTTTGTTCAGTACAAAAACTCCTAATACCCAGGTCTACTCAATTTGCCAGATAGGTATTTTCACTCTTCCACATACCTGCCATCCACTGAAACAGTGTCTCAAAGAGTTAAAGGTTGATCTGCAACAAATAGCTTTTGTTTTCTCAAAAACCCAGTGTCATAATATTGGCTTCTAGCACATCAGGCATCAAGCCCTTTTACTTGGTAACACCACACCACTATCTCCACACTTTTTTTTTTTTTTTTTGAGACGGAGTCTCGCTCTGTCGCCCAGGCTGGAGTGCAGTGGCCAGATCTCAGCTCACTGCAAGCTCCGCCTCCCGGGTTCCTGCCATTCTCCTGCCTCAGCCTCCCGAGTAGCTGGGACCACAGGCGCCGCCACCTCGCCCGGCTAATTTTTTGTGGTTTTTTTTTTTTTTTTGACGGAGTCTCCCTGTGTCGCCCAGGCTGGAGTGCAGTGGCCGGATCTCAGCTCACTGCAAGCTCCGCCTCCCGGGTTTTTACGCCATTCTCCTGCCTCAGCCTCCCGAGTAGCCGGGACTACAGGCGCCCGCCACCTCGCCCGGCTAGTTTTTCGTATTTTTTAGTAGAGACGGGGTTTCACCGTGTTAGCCAGGATGGTCTCGAACTCCTGACCTCGTGATCCGCCTGTCTCGGCCTCCCAAAGTGCTGGGATTACAGGCTTGAGCCACCGCGCCCGGCCTTGTGTTTTTTTTTAGTAGAGACGGGGTTTCGCCGTGTTAGCCAGGATGGTCTCGATCTCCTGGCCTTGTGATCCGCCCGTCTCGGCCTCCCAAAGTGCTGGGATTACAGGCTTGAGCCACCGCGCCCGGCTATCTCCACACTTTTACTCAATCTTTTTCTGATATTTGGGATGTACATAACCCTCCTTCCTTCCAATCTATCTTTTCATATATAGCTTAATTCCATTTTTTCTGGCAAGACCAGTCTCAAGCTAGACCCAACCTACTTCTCCCTCTATATCCTCTCCCAGGTCTGCTGTGAGCCACTCGGTGGAAGGAATGGGAAGTGGGTAGTCTCTTAAGCATCAGGCAGAGGGCTCAAGCTGAGTTGATTTAGCTTTGTAACTTAACTGCTCAGTGCACAGGGCACTGATGTTGGGAAATATAACTGTGTAAATGGGGGTCGGGGTGCGGTGCTGAGATTGCTGTGCCAGGCGAGTGTACAAAGTTTCATTACCCAGTCCAGCACTGATGACTGGAAATATCATGAATTATCCTTCTGTTGGTAGAGGGAACAAACCAGCCAATTGTTTGCCTGTTCATTACCAGGAATGCCGTCCCTCTTCAGCTGACCTAAATCATAGCTATGCAAACCTTCTGGGCTTTGACCTCTCCTAAATCCTTTAGGAAGTTCCAAGGTGACTCTGCCTCACAGGTCCCTTTCTTCTTGTAAATTATATAGGTGACAATCTGAGCCACACACGTTACAGGTCATATGGTGTCTCCTGTTAACCAATCCGGCATTATACTATATGGGGGTAAAAGGACAAACATGGGACAACTTTTTTTTTTTTTTTTTTTTTTTGAGATGAGTTTCGCTGGTTGCTCAGGCTGGAGTGCAATGGCGCAATCTCGGCTCACTGCAACCTCCGCCTCAGGGGTTACAGCGATTTTCCTGCCTCGGCCTCCCCAGTAGCTGGGATTACAGGCATGCACCAATATGCCCGGCTAATTTTGTATTTTTAGCACAGATGGGGTTTCACCATGTTGGCCAGACTGGTCTCGAACTCCTCACCTCAGGTGATCCGCCTGCCTCTGCTTCCCAAAGTGCTGGGATTACAGGTGTGAGCCACCACGCCCGGCCTCGACCACTATCTTTTTAACCCAAGCCCCCACTGAAACCCTGTCCCTGTTGTCACATGGACATTGGGCTGCAGGAACACAGGAGGAGCAGAGGCTCCTGAGGCCTCACGCCAGTTGCAACGAAGCCAATCATAGATCTCGCCCTAGAGCAGCAGGAGGGATAAACTAACCTGGAAGGGGTAAACCTCGAAGCCAAAAGGACATAGCATGTCCTCGATCTTCTGCTTCAGCTCTGCGACTTTCGGCTCCATAGCGCTCGTTACACGCTGAGCTTGCCGGGGAATGAAGTCTCAAGGACAATTGGGCCGTTACGTTTTGAGTCAACTTCGACTCCATTTCCCAGGTAGGAAACGGGTAAAATAGCGGGACAGTATTGGCTATGCGCGATGCATCTTGGGATGCGTAGTTTGTTCGATCCCTGGAGACAGCTACACGGAATCAGGAAGACTCAGTTTCCCGGCAAGCTACACGGTGGGGGTGTGCATGTACGTGTCTCTTCCAGGGAAAGGTAGTTCCGCCGCCTCCATCGCCGGTTGTGTTTGCGAGAGGCGAACTCAGTTTCCCAGGTGGCGCAGCGGCAGCCAGTCCAAAGTCGGACTTTCAAAACCAACCCGAAGTTTTGAACCCGGCGGCGGCAGTTGTCACTGGCACAGGTTTGGCGTGGCGGCGCCAGTGTACTGCTTCTGGGGAGGTCTCGACCAGGTTCTGGCACCTTCAACCCCCACCTGATATCTGCGTATCATCAGGGTATCCCGCTTTCCCCCCAGTTCCCCAAGAGCGTCCTTCCTTTCCCTAGTCCCACGATCGCAGTTTTGGTCTGATAGTGCATCCCCCTACTCCAAGTTGCATCCCCACTACCCTCTTTCCATCTAACGTGGTGGCCTTTCCTGGGCTGTACCTTGGGTATCCCCCGCTGAGAGAGTAAGCACAAGGCACCAGGGAGCCAGACCCCTGCCGCTCCCCTGCCACAGGATATGAGTAGGAGCCTCAGCTGGTTTGAGCAGCTGGATGTGCTTCTCAACACTACTGATGGAAATGTGGCCCGGATTAAGGTGAGGGGTTGGTGGAAGTCCCCAGTTTGCGTGGGCACGCTAAGGGACTCTCAGAGCTCATTGACCTGTGCAACTGTTTCTTTTGTAGCAGTGGCTGTATCCTCTTGGGGTCTCCAACTCAGGTAAATAATGTCTCTTTCTACTTCCAAGCCCTTTCTCTTTCTGTGCCTTCCTCCAGGGCCTGTATCATCCATTACTCCTTCCAAATTCCAACTCTGTCCTTTCCTTAACTCTGTTTCCCCACACAGACCCTGCACTTAACCCTTCCTTATTCCCTCAGCTGGGGACCTGGCTGGGACCTGGATTTCCTCTCATCACTTGCCTCTGCAGTCAGGAGTCCAAGCTCAACAGCCTTGGGCTTTAGAGACTCCCACAGTCCTACAAAGACTGAGCTGCCCTGAGTCCTAGAGCCCATCCTCTCTCTGGGATGAGGTTACTATTCTCTGATCCTAGCTTCAATCTCAGGCTCAGATGAGGCTTGGAATCCTTGGTGTGTATATGTGATGTTTGTGTGAGATGAGGATATTAGGGATTGGGAAAAGCTGTTATACAGTAGCTCATATGTTTTTTTCTGCCTGGGTAGGTGACTGAGGCCCTAAGGCAGGCAGTGCAGGGCCTGCTAGAAGAGTGAGAGCAGCAGAAGTACCAGCTCAGTATCTTGGAATGTATCTGGCCAGTTATTTTCTTCATACACACAGCTTCATACGTATGCACACAATTTTGCCACACACCTGTTGTGTGTGCACATGTGTCTTGTTTTGCAAGTAGAGTATCTAGGGTCTTGTGAAACTCTTAGAGAGGATGATCCCTAACTTGTCCCACTACAGCATCACTAAGGTTGCTGCAGGGGGCCCCAAAGGGGAGGGCTCTTCTCCTGGAGCAATGCCGGGAGGAGCTGAGAAGGTAACTGCAGGGCCTTCGGAGCCAGGTGTGGGAGAAAGCCCAAGCCCAGATGCAAACAGGACCAGGAGAATGCAGTACTACCAATGGCCTTCCTCAGGAGCTGCAGACTGAGTAAGTGATAGGCAAAACCTTGCCTTCTTGAGGCCTTTGAACTTTTGGCATTCTGGGAGGCTGGTGGCCTTCTTACTCTGGATTTGTTGATTGACTCTAGAATAGCACTGCTGTCACTCCTACAGTGCTGTGGGAGGAGTCAGAAATTATGCAGAAGGAATTGAAGTTGCTGCAGTACCAGTTGAGTAAGTAAAAGGTTGGGGGTGAATATGTGTTTCCTTGTCCGCTTTTCTGGAAAGTCTTCTTCTTCTTCTTTTTTTTTTTTTTTTATGAGATGGAGTCTTGCTCTGTTGCCCAGGCTCACTCTGTTGCCCAGGCTCTGTTGCAATGGCGCAATCTTGGCTCACTGCAACCTCTGCCTCCCGGGTTCAAACGATTCTTCTGCTTCAGCCTCCTGAGTAGCTGGGATTACAGGTGCCCGCCACCACGCCCGGCTACTTTTTTTCGTATTTTTAGTAGAGATGGGGTTTCACCATGTTGGTCAGGCTGGTCTCGAACTCCTGACCTCAAATGATCCGCCTGCCTTAGCCTCCCAAAGTGCTAGTATTACAGGTGTGGGCCACCGCACCCGGCCTGGAAAGTCTTCTTGCTCTCCCATTAAGTGGCCATGGCTCCAACTGCCTGAGCTACTGAGAAGTGTGGCCAAGTATTTTGTTGCACTCTTTGCCTCTCATGGTGTGAGTTTAGTCTTTTCAGTCAGCTTGGAAGCTTCCCAACGGCTGAGCCAGAATGTTTCTGTCTCAGTTTTCGGCAGCAGGCTGGTCACAGGCAGGGAGGGAAAAGGAAAGAAGTTGGGGAACAGCCCCCTTACATTCTCTCTCATCTGCGGGCCAGCGCCAGCAACTGCTGCTGAAACTGATCTGGCTAAGGGATGACAGGCTCAGTTTGGCAGTTGGAAGGTAGGACTAGGTTCAGTCCTACCTTCTCCCTGCATATTTCTCTGTGGAGGACCCTTCCTTTCTCTGTCTATCCTGTTCTGCAGGGAGGCCAGGATACCCTCTCCTGCCCCTGTCTCGATTACTCTCTTCCCTGTGCTGACTCTCTCTCCAGAGCTCTTCTTCCTAACCCTTCTGCTCCCGGCCATGAGAAACTATCCTTGCCCACATGAGGGTTCCAAGTGTGCTGAAGAGGACAGTCATGGCGAGAGGTTTGGTTCCACCTGAGCCTATGATCTGGCAGATGTTGGAGCAGTTGCAAAGTGGCCAGGAAGGCAAGGGTCATACCCTGGAGGCTGCCAGGACAGAGGACCAAGATGCCTGGAGGGAACACAACCTCCTCAGGTCAGGGGGTGTGGGTGCTGTGCCAGTGGAGGGGAATTGTCTCACAGGTCAGACACTGGGGACCAAAGTTCAGCTATCCTAGATTTGGTGTGGGCTGCTGGGGGCAGTATGAGTATCTGGTTGTAGCCCATAAGGGCATTCTTTACTTGATATAGAGTCACTGAGGTACCTTTATATGTTTGGATGTTAAAGAAGGAGGAGAGATTGGCAGGGCTCAGTGGCTCACGCCTATAATCCCAGCACTTTGGGAGGCCGAGGTGGGCAGATCACCTGAGGTCAGGAGTTCAAGACCAGCCTGGCTAACATGGTGAAACCCTGTGTCTACAAAAATTAGCCGGGCATGATGGCGGGTGCCTGTAATCCCAGCTACTCGGGAGGCTGAGGTGGGAGAATTGCTTGAACCCAGGAGTTGGAGGTTGCAGTGAGCCGAGATCATGCCATTGCACTCCAGCTTGGGTGACAGAGTGAGACCCCATCTCAAAAACAAAACAAAACAAAACAAAAAAAGAGGGAAGAGACCAGAGTCCTAGCCTCAGGAAAGAGGACAGTTCTGTGCCGGTAGGGCCCCCTTGACACATCATCATCATCTCTGTTTCTGGTTCTGTTCCCCTTTCCAGGACCTCCATACATGTTCTCCAATCTAAGCTGCCTCTGGCCACTACCTTCACCATGTCTGTTTCTTCATCTAGCTTTGAATGCAGTCTTCTGGACAGTAACAGTAGCTGGGAACTTTTATGGAAGCCAGGTGAGGATAAGGACAAGGATTCCCGTTTTGGGGGAGGCTAAATCTGAATGGTACCTGAATGCCAGCTGCCTAATTATTTAACACCAGGTAGAATGGAGTCTCTGCCTTTCTGTGAATTCATTGATATCTGTTGCTATTTATCCTGTCAGTCCTGTATGTCCCTCTCTATTAGAAAGGCCTAGGGCCTAGTTCTGTGCATATCACAATGCTTGCTGATGACTTGTTTTCTCTTCCCTTTTCCTTCCTCTTAGATCCCCAGAGGAGCACCCTTTCTATACTGGAGCCCAGAAGCTTTCAGCTCCATGCCCAGAGTCTTAAGCAAGAGGGCCTATTCCTTTGGGGCCCCAAGATGCTCTTGAATGACCTGTAAGGACTCGTTAAGAGTAGTAAGATGAAGGCTTCTTTGCCCACCCTCCCCTCCAAGGCCCTGTTTCTGGACTGCCTGCCTCTACCCTCTTGATGTAGCTATTATTTGTCCTCTCTACTGAGGCTTTTCACTGCTTGCCCATCCTTGTCGCTGGGCTGCAATAAAATGGTTTAACTCTCCCTGATGTGTTTTCTATGAGTCAGCACCCACACGGGATAGAATCAGCTGTACCTGTTCATCTTCCTGTTACTTGAAGTGCTTTCTATGACCTCTACCCCTGAAATCCAAGTTCATAGACATTTATAGCTGTATCTTTTTTTTTTTTTTTTTTTTTTTTGAGACAGAGTCTTGTTCTGTTGCCCAGGCTGGAGTACAGTGGTGCCATCCCAGCTCACTGCAACCTCTGCCTCCTAGGTTTAAGCGATTCTCCTGCCTCAGCCTCCCAAGTAGCTGGGATTACAGGTGTGCGCCATCACGCCTGGCTAATTTTTGTATTCTTAGGAGAGACGGGGTTTCACCATGTTGGCCAGTCTGGTCTTGAACTTCTGACCTCAAGTGATCTGCCCGCCTTGACCTCCCAAAGTGCTGGGATTACAGTTGTGAGCCACTGTGCCCAGCCTATAGCTGTACCTTCTGAGTGCAAGCTCAGTTGAAATTGAAAAGTAATGGGAGCTCCCATTCTGGTGAGGAGAATGAGGTAGGACACTACTCTGGGGCAGTAGTGCTAGGGGGATGCAAAGGAGGATGAGATATTCTGATGGGACCTGGATCTGGACAGTAGGAGGCTACCTTTTCTCATCTCCAGCTTCTGGCAATTTTTTTTTTTTTTGAGACAAGGTCTTATTCTGTTGCCCGGGCTGGAGTGCAGTGGCATGATCTGGCTCACGGAAGCCTCTGCCCCTGGACTAAAGCAATCCTCCCACCTTAGCCTCCCAAGTAATAATATATGGGACTATAGGCACACGCTATCATGCCTGGCTAAGTTTTAAATATTTTTTTGTAGAGACAGGGTTTCACCATGTTGCCCAGGCTAGTCTTGAACTCCTGGGCTCAACTGATGCACCAACTTCAGGCTCCCAAAGTGTTCGGATTACAAGTGTGAGCTGCTACCATGCCTAGCCCCAGCTTCTGCTGCTTGAGGCTCTCTTTGGCATCTCCACACATCATCCTTAGCAGTCCAGATTGCATTTCTGTAGCAGCCTGTTCCCTGGTCTCTTCTTTCACTCTCTCTGCCTCTAATACAGTGGCTTTAAGAATTTTTTGGCTGTGACTTCCAGTAAGAAATACAATTTACATTGTGACCTAGTAAATATGTGTGTAGATTTATTAACTGAAACAAAAATGTTATGATTTAATTTTTATCCTTACTAGGAGTGATACACTGATATTTTCTATTATATTTCATTAAAAAATGCCTTGTGACTAATGATCCTGATCCTTTCACTACTTGGACATCACAGAACATGAACTGCATAGGTCCACTTTTTTTTTCTTTTGAGATGGAGTTGCACTCTGTTACCCAGGCCGGAGTGCAGTGGCGAGATCACAGCTCACTGCAGCCTCAACTTCCCAAGCTCAAGCGATCCTCCCACCTCAGCCTCCCATGTAGCTGGGACGACAGGCATGCGCCACCACACCCGGCTAATTTTTTGTCCTTTTTGTAAAGATAGGGTTTCGCCATCTTGCCCAGGCTGGTCTCGAACTCCTGGGCTCAAGTGATGCTCCTGCCTCAGCTTCCCTAGTAGCTAGTACTACAGGCATGTGATACAACACCCACTAATTAAAAAAAGATTTTTGTTTGTAGAGATGTGTGTCACTATGTTGCCCAGGCTGGTCTCAAACCCTTGGGCTCAAGAGATCCTCCTACCTCAGTCTCCCAAAGCCCTTGGGATTATAGGTCTGAGCTCACACACCCAACCTCAACAGAAATATTAAACAGCAATATGGAAAATTGTTTTTTGAGCTGTCACCAGGTGGCAGCACATGATTTGTTGCCAGAAGAATGGCACCAAAAAGCCTTTGGTCAGGGGAACTGGGCTGGGGTGATCTCTCTTCTACCTTCAGAGATCCTGGGAGCTACCAATTAATCTTCCTATAACACTGCCCTGTTTAGTTTATGGTCCTGCTCAAGAATAGCACTCACAGCATAAAAAAGGACAAATTTGAATATTGGAATTTAAGCCCAACCCACATGCAGCCTCTTCTCTCTCCAATATCTCCTACCACGTTTCTTTCTTTCTTTTTATATATTTTTTGGGACAAGGTCCTGCTCTGTTGTCCAGGCTGGAGTGCAGTGTCACCATCCACAGCTCACTGTATCCTTGACCTCTGGGCTCAGGTGATTTTCTGGCCTTAGCCTCCCAAGTAGCTAGGACCACAGGTACATGCCACCATTCTGGACTTTTTTTTTTTTTTTTTTTTTTTCCTGTACAGACAGGGTCACGTTATGTTGCCCAGGCTGGTCTCGAACTCCTGGCTTCAAGTGATCCAGCTTGACCTCCCAAAGTGCTGGGATTATAGAAGTGAATCACCGTGCCTGGCCATATTTCTTTCTTTCTTTCTTTTTTTTTTTTTTGAGAGGGAGACTTGTTCTGTCGCCCAGGCTGGAGTGCAGTGGTGCGATCTCGGCTCACTGCAACTTCCGCTTCCCAGGCTCAAGCGATTCTCCTGCCTCATCCTCCCGAGTAGCTGGGACTACAGGTGCGTGCCACTACACCCAGCTAATTTTTATATTTTTAGTAGAGATGAGGTTTCACCATGTTGGCCAGGATGGTCTTGATCTTCTGACATCTTGATCCCCCTGCCTCGGCCTCCCAAAGTGGTGGGATTACAGGTGGGAGCCACTGCTCCTGGCCCTGGCCATATTTCTTAAACTTTATTGCCACCAGGAATGCATACCACCTATACTCTTCCAGGAGGATGGAAGTCTGAAGATGTCTGAAAAGGAGTCTCTAACCCCTGGGAGTGCTAATACAGTAAGTCCCATACTGCTTGCTCTTGCTGTCTTCCTGTTCCAGTCTCTTCAGGCATGAGATTATGAGCTCCTGATGTCCAGGCACATGCAAAGAGAGAATAAATATGTGCCTTGAATAGCGGGCAGAATTCTTAGTTGGGAGCAGTGGCTCACGCCTGTAATCCCTGCACTTTGGGAGGCCGACGTGGGCAGATCACTTGAGTCCAGGAGTCACAGACCTGGGCAACATGGCAAACCCCACCTCTACAAAATATACAAAAAATTAGTCGGGCATGCTGGCGTGCCCCTGTAGTCCCAGCTACCCGGGGAGGCTGAGTTGGGAGGATCACCTCAGTCCAGGAGTTTGAGGCTGTAAGTGAGCCATGATCGCGCCACTGCACTCCATCCTGGGCGACAGAGTGAGACCCTTCTTAAAAAAAAAAAAAAAAACCAACAGAACAAACAAAAAATCCCGACTTATTCCCCACCAGCTTTCTTTCAAAATCTGTTTTCAAGCTAGCTGAAGTGTTACCTCCAAGCCTTCACTTAACCGAATCTCATAGTCCTGATTAATTTCTTCCCTAGCATTTTGTTTAGCTCTACTGATTGCTCTTACTATTTCAAGTCGCTATTATTTATATATTTTTTCCTCCTCACTATACTGAGATCCTGCGGGACGCCGCATTCTTACCGCTTTTCCTTACTCAGCTATACCTTGACCAACCCGAAAGCCGCGCCAGTCTAGTCCATTTTCAATTGGCTTTATCAATTACCAATCATTTCTGTGTTTAACATTTTTATTGGTCCATCTTGTGTTTACTTCCCCGCCCTCTAAGAGGCTCCTGGACTTGAGTTTCCCCCAGGTGTATTCCCTCCTCCTCCGTTCCGTCTTTCCCACACACTGCTTCTTCTGTTTTTACCTCGACTTCCTTCCTATTGGTTCCCTTCGTCCTCCGGAGTTGGCGCCTACGGCTGTTGATTGGCTTTTCTGGACGCCCATTGTGCCCACCCTCATACCACGTGGCATTCCTAGCGCTAATTGGGTAATCCCACTAGCTCGTTTATCAGGAGTTGACGGTTGATTGGCTACTCTGAGGGAGGGCTTGAGGGAGGGGCGTGGTCAAGCGAGACCCCGCCCCCAGCCCCCCTGCTGGGCCCGGTAGGCGTTTCAGTCTCTCGCGGCCCGGGAGCTCAGCAGAGTTACCAGCTGCCCTCTTGGTTTCGCTGGTCGGATTGTCCTCCTGGCCCCGCCAAACAGGCGGGGGGAGCGGCCCCGACTGTGGGGCCATGGCAGTGGTCTCCTCGTTCTCCGCCGCCACTGGCCCAGCTGAGTCGCCGGCTTCTGCGCTAGGGGCTCCCACCGCCTCCGCAGGCTAAGGAGCCGCTGCCACCAACGAGCTGTGAGGGTTACTATGCTCCCTCTTTGCCGGCGTCTCCTCCTCTCGCCCGCGCACGCACCCCTCTGGCTGCTCAGTCCTGCCTCAGGTAACATGAAGAGAGGACGGGGGACACAAACCCGGGCATCCTGCCCGGCCCGCGCGCGCGGCCGCTCCACCTCCTCTGCCCCGGAGCAGAGGCGCCTGCGCCCCTCCGCACACGACGGGACCCCTCGGCTTCCCAGAGGTCCCCCTCTCAGCGGCGGCGGACGTTCCCTTCTCGGCCGCTTTCCCCTTTCCTTCTCACTTCCCTCAGGCTCCCCGCCACGTCTGCTCCCCCTTAGAACCTGGGAACCCATTAGAAGTTACCTCGCTCGCGTTAGGGATCTTTCGTTTTCTCGGAAAACTCTTGTTTCAGAGACTTCCAGCTCCCCACTGAGCGCCTCCCTGCTCGCATACCCGCTCCGGCCTCAGAGTTCTGGGTTCCTTCACTTGACTTCCCTCCGACACACTCTTCCCTTGAAAACGATCACCTCTACCCGGGAAAACACTTCCCTCCCCTCAGACCCTACTGCCTTCCCCCTCTTCTTTCCTCCCTTGTCATCATCTCCCTTCCTTTCCCCTCTCTGCTTTTTACTCTTCACTATGAAGACTGGACTAAGCCAGTGTTCAGATTTCGCTACAAGTGCAACCCAGGTTTGTGTAATTTAAAAATCTTTAAATTGTATACCTCTGAGAATAACTTGCTGAGGAATTTGGACTTTATGCTGCAGGCATGGAGAGCCGTTGAAGGTTTGGTAAGCAGGAGCTTGGTATGATTGCATTATCTCTGGTGAAAATATAGAGGAAGGATTGAAAGTGAAGACCGTGTGCAGGCGGAAAGGCCAGGTAGGCAGAAAACGAGTGTGCTCATCTAGGCGGGAGGGAATGGCACGAAATTCCAAGAGGTTTCAAAATAGAGTTGAGAGGAATAGTAGGAAGTTTCTGACATGGCTGATGGTGTGAATCGGTAGTGTTAATTGAAATAGGGAACATAGTCTCCGGTCATACCACCCTCAACGCGCCTGATCTCGTCTGAAATAGGGAGCATAAAGAAGCAATTTTGAGGGAAGGTAATGAATTTGGTTTTGAACAAGTTAACTTTCAGGATTTTTTTTTTTTTTTTTTCTGACGAAGTCTCGTTCTGTCACCCAGGCTGGACTGCAGTGGCGCGATCTCAGCCCACTACAACCTCCTCCTCCCAGGTTCACGCGATTCTCCTGCCTCAGACTACCGAGTAGCTGGGATTACAGGCATGCGCCACCACACCCGACTAATTTTTGTATTTTTAGCAGAGACGGGATTTCCCCACTTTGGCTAGGCTGGTCTCGAAAGTCTGACCTCAGGTGATCCGCCCACCTGGGCCTCCCACAGTGCTGGGATTACAGACGTGAGCCACTGCTCCCAGCCGAGTTTGAGGTGTTTTTATTTCACTGTGGGTAGCTGGAAATTTGGGTCTGAAAATTGGGAGAAAGCTTGGAGCTGGATACATAAATTTTGAGGGTCAAGAGAATATATGGGGGATATTTGTATGCCTTAGTATTTGGAATGGTAATACTGAAAGATGAGAAGAGCTGTGGACCAGAAGGAGCATCATTGTTTGAAAGGTAATAGACACTGAAAAAGAGAGATTAAAGGAATGGGACAAGAACTAGAACATAACAGCATTATAATAGGAGCCAAAGAAAGGATTTCAAGAAGGGAGGGGGATGACTATCAATGTCATGTGTTCCCGAGGTCCAGCTGAATGAGAATTAAGAAGCTTTTTTTTTTTTCTTTGGTGGCAGGGTCTCACTCTGTCGCCCAGGCTGGAGTGCAGTGGTGCAATCTCGGATCCTCAGCCTTCTGAGTAGCTGGCATCACAGGCAGGAGCCACCACACCCAGATAATTTTTTGTATTTTTTTGTAGAGACGAGGTTTCTCTGTATTGCCCAGGCTGGTCTCGAACTCCTGAGTTCAAAGCTATCTGCCTTCCCTGGCCTCCCAAAGAGCTGGGGTTACAGGCATGAGCCATCATGCCTGGCCTGCCCTGAATTTAGCAATCAGGAGTCACTTGTTTCCTCTGAAATGCAGTTTTGATAGGGTGGGGATGGCAAAGAAGGCAGTAGTGAGATCATGTTGGATTGAGGAAGAAATTAGTAAAATTATTCTCCAGAGTTTGGCTGTGAAGAAGAGCTGCTTCTAGTGAAACTCATTTTTATTGAGAATATACTATATGCCAGGAACATAAAGATGCTTTATAGATCACAACAGCCTTGTGGTTAATATGTCAGTCAGTGTCCCTCTTTTACAGTTGAGAATACTGTGGATAAGGATTTGAGCAGGTATGTCAAGTTCTGAAACCTGTGTTCTTTCCATTATGGCACATGTGTGTTTTTCTTTTCAGTACAGATGAAACAGTTCTGTAAGTGAGGGGAAAGTTTATCTAGGAAATATGTCAGTCAGGCATTTCGTCCTTTGACATGAAAAGGATAGAAGTGAAGACGGATAATGATGTGGTAGAAGAGAAGGAAAGTGAGGGAGTTTGACAGATGGCCTTATTGATGTGATCACTAATCTATGGAGAAGTCAGTTTGGAGACTGAAGACACTATGGTGAGTTTCTGACTTGAGTCAGAATCTTTATGTTCCTGGAGGCTGAGGTTGCGGGGAGTCGAGATTGTGCCACTGCACTCCAGCGGGCCGGGTGGGGAAGCAAAAGAAACTCAGGAGCTAAAAGATTGTTGACCACATTGAGGGTCCCACTACTTAGAAATAATATGGCTGGGCGCGGTGGCTCACGCCTATAATCCCAGCACTTTGGGAGGCCGAGACGGGCAGATCACAAGGTCAGGAGATTGAGACCATCCTGGCTAACCTGGTGAAACCCCGTCTCTACTAAAAAATACAAAAAACTAGCCGGGCGAGGTGGCAGGCGGCTGTAGTCCCAGCTACTCGGGAGGCTGAGGCAGGAGAATGGCGTAAACCCGGGAGGCGGAGCTTGCAGTGAGCTGAGATCCGGCCACTGCACTCCAGCCTGGACAACAGAGCGAGACTCCGTCTCAAAAAAAAAAAAAAAAAAAAGAAATAATATATTTATAATGGGCCCAGTAGCATGGATTTTACACTTTATTCAACAACTTAAGAATAGTAGGACAAAAAAGATGGTTGGATTGATTCAAAATTGAAACTTGCAGGACAGAAAGATAAAATGGGAAGCAACTTTACACTGCTATTGATAGTGTAGGAGATATGTTTGATTCCAAGGGACCAAGCTGGGAGTGATAAGAAGCAAAATCTGTAGGGAGGCTGGTGTACTTAGAGAATAAAAAGACAATCAGAAATGTGGTTGAAGACCAGATTTTGTAAGAAATCTATAATTGGACAGCTCAGAGTTCATTATTTCAAGGTAAAGACAAAAACTGGCTTAATTGTCTCAATGCTGTTGAAAGGGAACGGAGGAGGTCAGGCGCGGTGGCTCACACCTATAATCCCAGCACTTTGGGAGGCTGATGCAGGTGGATCACGAGGTCAGGAGATCGAGACCATCCTGGCTAACATGGTGAAACCCCATCTCTACTAAAAACATAAAAAATTAGCCGGGCCAGGCGCGGTGGCTCACGCCTGTAATCCCAGCACTTTGGGAGGCCAAGGTGGGCGGATCACGAGGTCAGGAGATCGAGACCATTCTGGCTAACACTGTGAAACCCCGTCTCTACTAAAAATACAAAATATTAGCCGGGCGTGGTGGCAGGCGCCTGTAGTCCCAGCTACTCGGGAGACTGAGGCAGGAGAATGGTGTGAACCCAGGAGGTGGAGCTTGCGGTGAGCCGAGATCACACCACTGCACTCCAGCCTGGGCGACAGAGCGAGACTCTGTCCCCCCAAAAAAAAAAAATTAGCCGGGTGCATTTGTGGGCACCTGTAGTCCCAGCTACTCGGGAGGCTGAGGCAGGAGAATGGTGTGAACCCAGGAGGCAGAGCTTGCAGTGAGCCGAGATAGTGCCACTGCAGTCCGGCCTGGGTGAAAGAGTGAGACTCCGTCTCAAAAAAAAAAAAAAAAAAAGGGAATGGAGGTGTAGGTTATTGAAGTAGTGGGAGATGAAGGGGCTGTGTTGAATATGTCATCTATATGAATGTCACAGTTGTCCAGCATGATAGCAGGAGATTGAGCAGAGGAGATAGTAAGTCCTGCAGGTGAGCCTGCTCACCCAGGAGGGACCCAGAGTTGGATTGGTGGTTCCTTGGCACTTGTTGAAAAGTAGTACCAAATGGTACAGATGTTTGTATATGAATTAATGGTGATATCCTCAGATACTTGATGCTCTGGATGTATGATGTGTTATTCTCTCTTACAGATATATGTTTGGGATAGACCTTCAAACATAAAAATTCCTTTGTAAGCTTGACATATGATGGGCTTTGATTCTGTTTAAAATATATGTGCTGGCTGGGTGCAGTGGCTCACGCTTGTAATCCCACCACTTTGAGAGTCTGAGGCGGGTGGATCACCTGAGGTCGGGAGTTCAAGACCACCCTGACCAACATGGAGAAATTCCGTCTCTACTAAAAAATAAAAATAAAAAGATTAGCCGGGCGTGGTGGCACATGTGTGTAATCCTAGCTACTTGGGAGGCTGAGGCGGGAGAATTGCTTGAACCTGGGAGGTGGAGGTTGTGGTTAGCCGAGATCGTGCCACTGCACTCCAGCCTGGGCAACAAGAGCGAAACTCCGTCTCAAAAAAAAAAAAAAAAAGTATATATATATGTGTGCTGGGAGGCTAGGGACTCTCTACCTCAGGATCCTCAGTAACATTTTTTTTTATGGTTTTAGTTAATTGTGTGTGTGTGTATGTGTGTTTTTTTTTTTAAATGGAGTCTTGCTCTGTCGCCCAGGCTGGAGTGCAGTGGTGAGATCTCGGGCTAATTTTTGTATTTTTTGTAGAGACGGGGTTTCACCATGTTGGCCAGGCTGGTCTCAAACAGTTTTAGTTAATTGTAAAAATAAAATTGCACATTTACATGTGCTTATCCCGAACTTATTTTGAGGAGAAAACTGACTTGCTTTTATGCTTTCTTCCCTGTATAAAAGT